CAGCGGTTCGTCACCTCATGCGACACGTGCCAGCGGATGAAGAGCAGCAAGCAGAAAAAAGCAGGGTTACTTCAGCCTCTACCCGTATCGGAGCAGCCATGGCAAGTCGTTAGCCTCGACTTCATCACGGGACTTCCTTCGACCTCACGAGGGCATGATGCCATACTCGTGGTAATCGACAAATTCTCTAAAATGGGTCACTTCATCCCGACCAACGCTACAGCTACAGATGAAGCAACTGCTCGCCTCTTCTTCGACCACATCATCACCATCCACGGCATCCCCGCTACACTCATCTCAGATGGAGACCCCAAATTCACGAGTAAGTTCTGGAAGGAGCTCATGGGATTATTGGGGACTAAACTTGCGATGTCCTCAGCATACCACCCACAGACTGACGGATAGACAGAGCGACTCAATCAAGTGGTTGAACAGTTACTGCGCACAGCTTGCAAAGACGACGTCAGCCACTGGGACACACAGTTACCGACCCTAGAGTTCGCTTACAACAACGCCTCACATGCGGCCACAGGGAAAACTCCTTTCTTCCTGTGTTACGGACGGGAACCACTCACACCACAGCAGCCAACCACACCGGCACATGTCCAAGCCGCACACGACTTCGTCACCACCATGCAGCAGCTATGGGAGAAGACTCAGCAACGACTCACCACGATGCAGACCTCCCAGAAGCAGTATGCCGATCGACAGCGACGTGATCACACAGTAGCAGTCGGAGATCAGGTGCTTCTTGACACACGCAACTTGAACCTGTCTCACCTACCATCCAAGCTCCGGCCTCGCTTCTGTGGCCCTTTTCTCGTTGAGGCACAGGTGACACCAGTTACATTCCGCTTGCGCTTACCAGATACATGGAAGCTTCACAACGCTTTCCATGTCCAGCTACTGAAACCCTACAAGGACCCTAACCAACAGTTCCAGGGACGGCAGCTACCGCCACCACCACCTGTTCTCATACAGGATGAACCCGAGTACGAAGTGGAGCGTGTTCTCACTCATCGGCGCCGCGGCGGCAAACCCTCGAGTTCCTGATACGCTGGAAGGGATACGACCCCATTGAGGAGAGTTGGGTTGCAGAAGCTGATATGTGCAACGCACGCCGTGCTCTCAAGGACTATCTTGTCAAGCAGGGTGTATCTCACGCCACCCAGCTTTGAGGGGGGGACGTGTGAGAGTACGACGGCTTATGCCAGCTATGCTTGCTTGCCTTTACTTTATTATGCTATCTCTAGCATAGGATAATTATATGCATGCATGAATTGCTTGATTTCCTAGGCTAGGTGCTTTCCTATATTTTATTATAGTTATAGCACCGAGCTAGGTTGCGTGCACCGAATCCTGGCTTTTCGGTTGCCACCGAATTGCCTTCTACCGAATTCGGGAAGGATCTGTTCGGGACGCTTCGCGACCCGCGGAACCTTCGCGTAACACCTGGTTACTGGGCCTTGTGTCGAGCCTATATATAGCCTCGTGTTGTACCCAGGTGATCATTCAAGTCAAACTCTCTTTTCCGAGCTCGATCCTAGATCCTCACAGTCGCAGTCCAGAACTGGCCGGTGCAACAAGATGTGGGTGAAATCAGGTCTTTTTTTGTACTGGCAAACTATTGCAGAATTCTTCTACCATTGTCGCTCCATTGACGGCTCTCATTCGCAAGAGTAGCGCATGGCAATGGACAATGCAATGCCAAAAGGCATTCGATGAGGTCTAGCGAATGCTGACCAACGCTCCAGTACTAGTTTTACCAGATCCAACGAAACCCTACGAGGTCGTTACCGACGCCTCATTGATAGGGGTTGGGGCTGTCCTCTTACAAGAGGGGAGACTAATGGCATTTGAGAGTCGAAAGCTCTCCCCGGCAGAGCAGCGCTACACGACGTCCTAGCAGGAACTGTTGGCGGTCGTTCATGCGCTTCGAACATGGCGATGTTATCTGGAGGGTGTGGACTTTGTGGTTACGACCGATCACTGTCCAAACACCTACTTCTCCACCCAAGCCACGCTTACTCAACGTCAAGCCTGGTGGGCGGAACTCCTTAGTGGGTTCGCATTCGATATTTGATATCGAGCAGGTTCGATGAATCTGGATGACCCTCTCAGCAGTCAGCCGATAGGGGCAGCAACACGAGTAGACGACACAGAGGACGCGGCAGTATTTTCTACTTGCTTTAGTGTCCTAGCAACGGCTCGAGCGAGAGAGATTATCTTCAGTGGTTTTCTGAAACGCATCCGCACAGGGTATTAAATTGATTCCTGGTTTCAGAACCCACGTAACACGAAGGAACTCAAGTGGGAGCATGAGCTTTGGTGGCATAAGAAGGAGATTGTTTTACCTCACGTGGGTAATCTTCTGAATGACATTCTGAAAGAAGTGCGTGCCACTAAGTACGGAGGACACCTAGGGGTCAAGAAGACCAGGTGGGCGTTGAGTGATGTGTACTGGTGGCTGGGATTGAGCACTGAGGTCCATCAATTCGTGGCGCGTTGCGATGAATGCGCATGAAATAAAACGGACACGAAGAAGCCTGGTGGTCTGCTTCAACCACTAGAAATTCCGAACAAACCTTGAGAAAGCGAATCCTTGGATTTTATCACGGATCTTCCCAAGATTCGCGATGGCCATACAGCAATCCTAGTGTTTGTGGATCTTCTGATAAAAATGGTGCATTTTGTGGCTACGACATCTGACGTAACTGTAGGAGATACGCTAAGTTGTTTGTGGCACACGTTTTCCGCTTACACATGCTACCACGTCTCTTGGTGTTCGACCAAGATCCGCGCTTCACAAGCGCTTATGGCAAGAGGTTACACGGACACTAGGAACAAAGCTTAAGATGTCCTCTGCGTTCCACCCACAAACAGATGGGCAGACGGAACAAACAATCTGGACACTTGAGCAGATGCTTCGTTCAATCATTGGCCCAACACAGGATGATTGGGACGAGTTATTACTTGTCGTTGAGCTCATAGTGAACTATTCAATTCACAAGGATACACATCAGAAACCTTTCAATTTGATCTATGGTCGGCATCCCACAACACCCGCTACGCACGGGATCGGTGGATTGAAAATTCTAGTCGATAAAGACTTTGTTGGCAAGCAGCAAGAATCGCTGATGTCTGCTCACCATTGGCTGCAACTCTCTCAGCAGCGACAAGAGTCTTACGCCGACATGAAACGCTGGGAAGTCTCATTTGAGGTCGGAGACAAAGTTTTGTTGAGCACGAAGAACATTCGTCTCAAAATCCCTGGAGCACGAAAGTTGTTCCCTTGATGGATTGGGTTATTCGAGGTGATCAAGCGTGTTGGTGCGGTCGCTTACAAGCTTAAGCTACCTATACACTACAGATTCACAACGTCTTCCATGTGTCTCTTTTGAACAAGTACGTTGCAGAGGGCAAGTACTTGCCACCACCAACGATCGTCATGGGGGAGGAACTGTTCTATAAAGTGGAACGAGTGTCGATGGATCGTGATCGACAATGCGGCTGCAAGACAGTACGAGAGTTCCTCATCAAGTGGAAAGGCTATGGGCCTAAACACAACTCATGGGAGCCAGAAGAGCATTTGACCGAAAGTGCAGTTCAGTCATACATGGCAGATCTGGCTCGACGAGCTACCGCACAACCAGTGGTTGGTGTTGACCTTGGCCGTAATGTGACACGGCGTGCTTGAAGCGCTTGTCCTCAGAAGCACCTCAAGGCAACGAGGACGTTGCCGTCTGAGTGGGGAGGAGTGTAACGCCCGACATACCTAGGCACCTAACGAGACTCTCGTAGTCAATGTCGAGAAGCCTCTCGACAGAACATTGAACTACGATAAATGGGAAGGATGGGTTGGAGAAAAAAGTTGGTTTGGCTTTCCAACCCTCAACCTTGAGGCTTGGAAACATTCCAACCTTTCAAAGTGAGGATTGAATGGTTGGATTTCCAACCAATCACATTGTGCCAGTTGTTGTTACAATCCAACCAAACAACAAAACAATCATACAAATCTATTAAGTCGGGTTTTCTCAACCAAACAAAGTCGCCACCTAGTCTCCAAGCCTATTAGCTCCCCAACCATAGAAGCCATGGTTGGGAAGAGCCCCAAGGGGTATTGTGGAAAGGGGTTGGAGTTTTCAAGCTCATTCCCACTTCCCAACTCCGGCAATCAAACTTGGAAATGGGATTTCTCTGAGTCCTGGCTTTCTCTCTAACAAGTTCTCCTACACAACTAGAGTTGTGATTCTTCAAGGGTAAGTTCTACAATAAGCTATCTACTAGTCAAGGCTTCACCAACAACTACAACTTTTCATCTTAAGATTCTTCAAGCTTAGCCTAAAGCTTGTTTATCCCTTGGTGGGATTAGCTAGATATTTCAAAGCCTTGTAACTGTGATTGTTTATATAATTTTGAGGATTCCTCATTAACACGTGGCTGCCCGTTGTTATAAGGGCCGTGGTTGTTACAATTGACCCTCCGTTGCCGAGTTACTTTGGCCCGTCTGCCGAGAGCCGACGGTCGCTCCCAGGTGGCTGATCTGCGTGTGGTTACACCAATCCGAGTGTAGGCCATCATCGACACCGCGACCAACTGGCGCTATCGGATGGAGACCAATATGAGCACGGGGAATGTTGTCGAGAACGAGAGGGAGTGCAAGGACGAACTGAAGAAAGCTACAGAGGCTTTGGCAGAGGCAAGGCGGTGAGAAGAGGAGCTGTACGGAGTGGTGAAGGAGGGCGAGAGGGCGAGTTGGAGGAGTGGATTACGCGGAAGGTGGATGCCATGTATGTACTGACCACCGTGCTTCGCAACGAAAGGCTCGCGGGAGCGGTGCTGTCTCGGGCTGAGGGAGCAGGCAAGCGTGCGCGCATGGAGGATAGATCACCCGCATATGCGATGATGGAGATGGAGGTGAGTGTACACGACGCTCCACGCCACAATAGGCCACGCCACGCCACGCCATGCCACATGCTCTCGCCTTTATCACTCTTTAGGGCCGAGCCACTCCCTCCGGCCCACCTTTTTACTTATCCCCTCAGCTCACCCTTTCATTGTCTCTACATCTTCCCCTTCCCTCCTCCCCCCCCTTCCCTCTTCACCTTCCTCTCCATCTCACTCCCTTTGTCTTTCAACCTTCCTCCATGCTCCCCCCTCTCCTCCCTTCCCTCTGCCTCCTCTTCTTTCTCCCCCTCTGTCTCCTCTCCTCCCTTCTCTCCCTCATGTCCTCCCTCCCCTCTCCCTCCATTGCTCTCCATCTCCTCTCCCACGTGGCAGCATCTTGTGGCATGTCTTCCCACGGGGAGACCATCTGCTGAATGGTGCACGCAGTGAGGAGGATGGGGTTCGAGCTTAAAGGTCGGAGGGCACAGGGGGGTAGAACGAAAGAGGAGGACGAGGAGAGGGGAATGAAGCAGCGGGAAGAGAAAAACGAGGAGGGCGAGGAGGAGGCGCAGGAGGAGGGGGGAAACCTGCTTCAAGGGTTCAACCGCTGTTTGGCACCTGCCGTGGGGTTCACCACGGTGGGGCAAGTTGCTGCTCGGAAAATGCAGCAGTTTGGGTGTTGGAACTGCCCCTCACTAGCTACACGGAGCCTTGCATGCAGATAAGGGGGATGCTAGAATTTATACGGTATTTCTATATATTAGTGCATGCAGTATAGTTAGTATAGTATCATGTTAGTTTTCTATCTGCTGTGTTATATCCCTCTTGCCACCTTCTTGTACTTCTCATTATTTGACCCCTGTCTTTGGCCAACCCTCATTAGTATCGCTTCTCTCGTTTATATACTTCGCTCCTAGGGTTTGTATGGCTCCTAAGTTCTAACTACCATCTCAACATTCTTCCACATGCTACACCACTCCTAACAGCAGTAAACACCCTGGTCTAGATCGGAATCAAGTGTGGTGTTGCAAGTTTAAGTACCAACAGACTGTTGGAAAAGAACGAGGTTATGGTATGAGGGCTGCAGTGTCGCAAGTACAAATGCAGTTGGTGTCAACGGGAGTTGGGTGTGGCCCCGTTCTCGCTTGGGCAGAACCGACCTTGTGGTCGGGTGTATGGGGGAGTGCAGCCGACCTGCAGTAGTGGGCGAGCTGGTCGACGAGGTGGTCGACCTGCGCGGGGGCCACTGCTCTGACACCGACCTGGAGAAGCCGACTTGGGTGGTCGGCTGACAACTATGCTGGTCGACGTGAAGTTGGTCGACCAGGAGTGTTGTCGACCTGGTGGCCGACTGAGCCTGGTGGTCGACGAAGGAGGAGCCGACGTCGACCTCGACAGGGGAGATTAGGGACGCCGAGCTGGAGGGCGTCAAGGAGTAAGGTGCCGAGCAGCTGGGCGTCGAGCAGGAGGGCGCCGGGCTTGTGCGGCCGGCGGCCGACCGATCTGGTCGACCAGGCGTGGTTGCCCGGTCGATTGGGATACCCAGGCGACGTGTGCGAGGGGTCGGCGTGGTGGCTTCTGCGAGGTCGATCTCCGTTGTGGTATCCCGAGGTCGACGTGGCTGGTGGGCGCAGTCGCTGGTGTAGAGTCGAGCTCGGCGTCTGCGCTGTGCTCGTGACAAGGCGTGGAGCACCAACCAGCTGCGCGCACCTGCGAAGCAGGTGCACCGTTGTCCTGCGGGTGCAACGCTGTGCAGCCGACTTGCTGCAGTGTTGGCACACCGTGGACTTGCAACGTTGGCAAGCCGCAACTTTGCTCTGCTGGAGCGCGATCGACCAAGCCGTGCTGGCACGCGGTCGACCGTGCTGCGCTGGAGGTCGACCAGCAGCTTTGCTAGGTCTGATGTAGTCTTGTATGCTAGTGTTGTTGCTATCATTGCTATGAACTTTTGCTAGTGGAACTCTTGCCAAATTCCCCCATGAACTAGCAAGTAGTGCGAAGACGAGTAAACGACGAAGTGAACGAACGCAGAGATCACACGAGCACCCGTGCGTAGCCCATAGTCTAGCTCCGGTTGCTAAAGTTATCTCCGCAGTTGGGTTGTTGTTGTGGTCGGATAGGATGGGGTGGGTGGAGGGGACACCTTTCTCTTTATGGAGACTAGATTGAAGGCACCATACTGTTGTAATAAACTGGCACACCAATTACAAAAATGAGGTTGCATTGCATCCGTGGCACTGGCCTCCTTATAGGCCACTCTGCTAGTACCTACCGCTCCAAATATCCCTCACTGGCACCCACCACCCAAGTCAACAAAGGCAAGGCAACGAACACCAGCAGCAGATCTACCGTAACTGCAGAACAGTCCGGCGTTGATCCGTTCACACGGTATGCATGGAGCTTCGTTTCTTAAAGTGCACCGTGCTGCTCGCGGTGCCCATTGCAGCAGTTCCAAGTGCGTCACACCTTGGATGCTGCAGACACTCGCACCCACTTGGCCAGCTGCTCCTTGCCCTGCTCACCCTCTCACGCACCCACGCACCTGCCCACACACCCATACCCACACCCATGCCCTCACTCACCCACACCCGCACCCAGACACACACGCATGCTCACACATACTCGCATGCATGAGCAGAGCACAACAACACAGGCACAGGCAGGTGAGTGGCCGCACATGCAATGAGCCAAAGAGGGAGTGAGCAACAAGCACAGCGCTGCTGACAGGCACAGCACTGGTGACCCGTGCCTTGGTGACCCATGCCCTGTTGCACGTGCAGCCCACCGGGCGCACCTTTCTGGGCGGCACACTGACTGTCGGCAGATCCTCTGCCATGAAACCCAGCGGCTCCAGCACCTCCGCATAGCTGCTCGGGCCGCTCGTGGGGCGGGCAGGGGGAGGAGGGCAGTGGCAGCATGAGGAGTCGGTGGCGGTGGGGAGTTTGGCAGGTGTGTGAGTGAGGAGCGAGGCGTGGAGGGTATGGATGGGTGGGGTAGGAAGAGATGAGGAGAAACAGATGATGAGTACACAGCAAAGGGTGTGTGGGGCAGAGGGGCAGGACAAGGTAGGACGTGGGCGAACAGCGCATACGACGAGGTGGGGCAGGGGGGTAGGGTGGATAGAGGGGACAGGGGGGACAGGGGGGACAATGGGGGCAGGGGGACAGGGGGGACAGGGGGGACAGAGGGGAGATGGAGGGCAGGCGGGAGGGGGTGCAAGGGGGATGCACCTGTCCTTGGAGACAGCATAAGGTGGGCCGCCCTCATGATCGTCGAGCTGCAGGAAAAGTGCACACAGCGATGCATGGGGGCAGACAGACAGACAGCCATGCGCCGAGAGAAGAGAGCAGCGGGAGGAGCATTGGGAAGGGTTTGCACATCCGGAACACGGACAAAAGGGTGTATGTGTATGGGTAACACGAGAGGCGCACATAGAGCATGAGAGGGTGCAGGATACGCACGGGGTACATGAGCGTGTAGAACACCCCCTGTGGTGCGAGCAGCTCTGCTGACTTGGCAGCCCACTTGCCGCGCAACGACGGCGGCAGCGCACAGAAGAATCTGCGCACAGTGAGGGTCATGAGGAGGGGCATGCGGGCATGTGGACATGCAGGTATGGGGGCGCATGGGATCACGAGGGCATGAGGGCATGGGGCCATGCGACCATGGGCCGGGCGTGAGCGCCATGGCATGGGCAATGGGGTACGTGGGCACTGGGACGGCTGGTATGACAATTGTATGTATTTCCAGAAATGTATGTAAAGAAATGAGATATAAAAGGAAATGAGATGCTGGGCATACGACATGGGAAAGGAGCACAGCAGCGGAGGGAACGCAGCAGGAGCTTGGCAAGTGAGTGTTATAGTCACAATAGGCTTGAATGTGCCTAAAACGAAAGATAGAGAGCACAGACGGATTTCTGCACAGCGGCTTCAAACGTTGATAGCGTTCTGCTCACAGCTGCAAATGACTTGATTCAAATTGGATCTGGAGCGTCTTCACTTCGTCTACAATTAGCAATTTAGATTGTACGATTTGATAAAGAATTGACGACACAGCGTCGGTTTGAACGAACGGTACTATGGCAGCCACTATATCTTAGAACACAAGATAGGAAGAGTTACGAGTTGGGAATGACTCCCAGCTCCTACAAACCCCAAGAGCCGAGGTACAGTGATGTGGAACAGTGCCACACTGTCCCCAACCACGAAGGGTCTCGAAACTACCCTTCACTAGGGCCTACACCAAGTGAAATGTTACACTACACAAAGTAATGTAACTATCTTCAATATCTTGAGGTGTACCCTTTTTGGCGAGCTTCGAAATCACTTGAGGCTTGACACCAAGGCTCGGGCTCTTCATCACAAACTCATCCTTGAGTTCTTGATGGGTCTGCTGCATACACCTGTGACACGCCGAACGTTCGACACAGAACAAAATAGAAACCGCGCACGACAAAATAGAAACCGCGCGCGAGACACAAACGACCGCGTAACACGCGTCTAGCGATAACTCGCTATTGACTCGACACACACACTCGACATCATGACTCAACATTCACACACAATTATAAGCATGAAATATATATTATCCCATGCCCTCATACCATTCCATACATACACACATTCACACACACGGACAACAAGCCGAGTGCAAACCGTAGGGTTGCACCAACAAACTTCCCCTCGGATTGTTGGCCTTAGGATATGTTGCTCTCTCAGTTCAGAGCCATCCCAGCCAGCTTGCAACACTTCCAATGCTGCTGCTCCACCAGCCTCTTGGTCATCATGTCAGCCGGCTGCCCGGTGGTCTTCACGTAGCGCAACTCAACTTCACCCGCGGTTACCATGCTCCTCGTCCAATGCCACTTCACCCTCATGTGCTTCGTGAGTCCATGCAACACAGGGTTCTTAGCAAGAGAAATGGCACCCTGGCTGTCACAGTACAGTGGGGTAGGTCCTTGCTGCTCCTCCCCCAATTCAGCCAACAAACGCCGCTGCCACACAATCTCCCGTACGGCACGGAAGAGTGCCATGTACTCGGACTCCACCGAGCTCAAAGCTTGGTCAACCTGCTTCTTGCTCTCCCAAGCAGTTGGGCCTCCACCAACACAGCATATGAAGCCTCCCACACTTGTCATGTCCTCTGGTTCTGATGCATATGAAGCATCCGAGTAGGCGGTGAGGAACAAACGCCCGGGTTCAACACCATCCGCGCCCTTTTGGCGCCTTTGTGCCGCCGCCGAGTATTGCAGCCCAACGGTCGGTGTTTGGCCAAGATACTTGGCCACCCTCATTCCAGCTGCTACCTGCTCCTCATTAGGGCATTGCACAACCCTAGCCAGCTGCCCGGTAGCAAACGCGACGTCCGGTCGGGTGTTTACCGCCGCATACATGAGGCTGCCCACGAACGAGTGAAATCGGCGCCTCTCCTCTTCACCAACGCTCTCCTCCTCTGGTCCCTTCACACACTTGAACCCAGAGGGAAAGGGTGTAGCCACATGGCCTTCACTCTGCCCAAAGTTGGCAGCCAATGCCTCCAGGTACTTTCGTTGATGCACCCGCATGCACCGCTTCTCCACATCTCGTTTGATGTGGAGCCCAAGGTAGAAGCTCACGTCACCAAGGGCCTTGCACTTGAACTTGTCTTGAAGCTTCAGCATCACCTCCTTCACAAGGTCAGAAGAGGGTGAGAAAATGAGGATGTCATCCACATAAACCACCATGAAACTCCTCTGCTCCCCCTCGCCAAGCATGAACAAGGAGTGATCGGCCGTTGAGGGAGTGAAGCCGATCCCCTCCAACACTTCGCGCAGCTTCATGTACCATTGCCTAGGGGCCTGCTTCAGCCCATAGAGGGCCTTCTTCAGCTTCCACACTCTGCCACTACCATCATCAAACCCCTCTGGCTGCGCCATAAAAATCTCCTCCTCAAGGATGCCGTTAAGGAATGCCGTTACGATGTCCATTTGCTTTACTACCCATCCTTTGATGGCGGCTCCCGCGAATAGGGTTCGCAGCGTCGTCGGCTTCACCACAGGGGCAAATAGCTCCTTGAAGTCCACCTTCTCCTTCTGCTGGTACCCCTTGGCTACAAGCCTAGACTTGTAGCGCTCGATCTTGCCGTCGGCATCCGACTTGATTTTGAAGAGCCACTTGGACGTTATCGCCGTACGCCCCTCCGGTAGCTCCACCAATTCAAACGTGTCATTCTCCTCGATGCTCTTCAGCTCACTCTCCATGGCCTTCTTCCACTCCTCAGCATCACTACTCTCCAAAGCCTCCTTGAGAGTTGCTGGTTCTCCCGGCATCTCCACCGGAGAGAAGAACGCGAAGGCACACTCCTCGTAGTCACTCTCCTCGTCGTCTCCGACCATCATTGCCGCTCCGGCCAGGGCTGTCTTGCCCTGCTTTCCCGGCGCATCATAGGTCAGCCTATTAGGGGGTTGAACTCTCCTCTTCCCCCTTCCTTCCTCCTCAGCTGCAGGGACTTGAAGGCCTTGGCGTTGCTGCGGTGTGGCTCGAATCCGTGGAGCACTCGTAGTACGGGAAGGGAGTGACGGTGCACGCTCGCTCACTTGCTGCACCTCCTCCTCTTCTTCCTCTGCATCATTGGCCTCCTCTCCCCCATTCACAAGGGAGGATTGCCTTGTGGTTGTGCTGCCGCTGCTCAGCTCCAAAGGCAGCTCCACATGCTCCAAACCGGAACTCTTCACCTCCCCAAACCGCACGCCTATCTTCGCCTCATTCTCCGCCTTCCAATCCTTGTACATGAAGTTCTCCATGAACTTGCAGTCCCTGCTCACCAAGAACTTCTTGGTGAATGGGTCCCAAAGAAGCCATCCCTTGCTGTTTTGAGCCATGCCCAAGTGCACGGCCCACACCGCCTTGGCACCAAGCTTGTTGTGCCGAAGATGCTTAGGCACGAGCGCCATGCACATGCACCCGAACACCCGAAGCATATCCACCTTTGGCTTCCTTCCTAGCCACTCCACATAGGGCACCCATTTGTCTGCTCCCACATGAGTCAAGGCTCTGTTCTTGGCCACACACGCGCTCCGCACCGCATCAGGCCAGAAATAGTCGGGTAGCCCGGCTTCAATGAGCAACCCGCGTGCCGCCTCCGTGATTGTGCGGTTCGCTCGCTCGGCGATGCCGTTCATTGCAGGGGAGTATGGCATGGTGAGGGAGTGCCGAATACCATTCTTCTTCAGCCACAACCCAAACTCCTTGCTCAGGAACTCTCCCCCTCGATCGGTGCGGATTGACTTGACTAGACGGTCTTGTTGCCGCTCCACCATCGGGAACCAATCCGTCTTCAACGTTTCAGCCACGTCGCTCTTCTTGGCCAGCACGTACACCCAAGTCATGCGGGTGTAGACGTCGAAAATGGTGAGAAAATACTCAGCTCCAGCAGCTCCAAGCTTCAGGGGGCCCACCACGTCCATCACCACCTCATCAAGCGGTGCCTTTGCCGTTGCCTCCGAACTAGGGAACGGAAACCAGGTGAACTTGGCTTGAATGCACGTCGGGCAGCCAAGCACCTCATCGGGCTCCCCCTTCACACGTATGCCAGCAACCATCTCATTCTTCACTAGCTGCTGCAAGATGGGCAGGGCCACATGCCCCATGCGCCGATGCAAGGTGAGCCAATCACACTCTCCCGTAGCCGAAGTTGGATTGGAGAATGCCGCGCTCGCAATAGCGCCCCACATACTCTCTCCGTAGTCCTCCTCCGCTGCTGCCTCTGGGTTCTCCTCACCCTTTTGCTGCTCCTTGGTTGCTGCACCACTCTCCTTAGGTTCACTGAACTTGCTGGTCCCTCCAGGTTTGCTCTTCTTGAGCTCATTCTCCTTAGCGCGACCGTTCGCGCCATCGTCGCTACCGACCGCTCCATCCTTGGTGCTGATGCTTGCTGCCACTTGCCTCTCCTTAGGCATAGGGACCACTGGGATCTGCCACATCTCGTTGTAGACATCCCTGTCCTCATGAAGGTCCCAAAGAATTCGATCGCCAAGCCTTGCGGTGTAGGTCTTGGCTCCCTTCGAGTTCGTGTCCATGCCGGCCTTTGCCAACCGCCGCACGGAAATCAGGTTTGCAGCAAGGCTGGGCACCCAAAGCACGTTCTTGAGGCCCACCATATTCCCATCAGCACCCTTGAACATGGCCTTGCCCATGCCTTTCACCTCTGCTCGCTGCCCCAAAGCCGATGTGACATGCTTCACCGGTGACGGCTCGAGTTCGGTGAGCAAGTCCGGGCGAGGTGTCATGCTATAGGTAGCGCCACTATCAATCACCCAATAGTCCAGGGGGTGTAGGGTCACCTTCCCCACAGCTGCTGGCTCCTCAAAGCCTTCATCCTTCTCTGGACCAGCCGGTACTTGCGTCGACACGAAGTAGAATAGACCCGGGTATCGATCGTCGCTCGGGTCCTTGTCGTTGTCTCCGCTCTTCATGTTTGCAGCTCCGCCACCGCGACCGCCACGGCCTCCACGGCCTCGTCCTCTCCCTCCTCCTGCTCCTCTACCCTCTTGGCCTTGAGCAGGGGTCCAACCATCAGGGAGTTTGTAGCAGTCGCGCCACATGTGTCCGCTCTTGTGGCAATAGTGACACTCGCCGTCGAATCGGCCGCGACCGCGTCCGTAGCTCTTGTCGTCGCTGCCGTAACCGCCACTCCTGCGGCCTCCGCCGAAGTTGCTGCCACCAAACCTTCCTCCCCCTCGTCCTCTGCCTCTTCCTCGACCATATCCACGGCCGATGCTCGCTGCCCCAGCGCCATCCGCACTCGCCAACTCACGGCGGCGGAAATCCTCTTGAAGGATAGCTCGCTTCACGTCTTCAAGCGAGAGGCGGGGCAAGTCGCGATTAAGGTTGATGATGAGCGAGGACCATGACTCTGGGAGTAAGGCCAGCAACTTGGTCTTCTTTTGGAGCTCACTGTAGTTCAAATCAGCTCCCTCAAGCCGCGTCAACAAGTCGAAGAATTTCTGCACCCCTTCTTCAACCGCTTCGTCTTCTTCAATTCGTAGTGCCGCCATTTGCCGTTCCAACACCACCGCTACCGCCGCTGTTGCAGGAGCATGTACACCCTTGAGAGCAGCCCATGCCTTTGGTCCTTTCTCTGGTTCACGCTGGAATGGCTTGATGTGACGGATCTGACTGCTCCCCAACGCTTGCCCAAGTAAGAGATAGCCTTGTGCGCTCTTCCGCACCCACGGGCTCTTCTCCGGGTCGTTCTCGGGGCGCTTCTCCGTTCCTTCCATCACCTCCAGCAGGTCATAGTGGTCAAAGATGTTCTCCATCTTGAAGGACCATTCAGCAAAGTTGTCACCGTTGAACTTGTCAAGCCCAAACACCCTAGGCTCATCCCTAGGTGGGCCAAGACTTGGTTGCATGGGCGCCATGGCTGAATCACGGGGTTGGCCTTGAGCTTGAGCTTCTCCACTGCCACCAGCACCTCTGCCACCCCTTTCCTCAGGTCCAGAAATTGTCGAAACTGCTCCAAGGGGCTCTGATACCACTTGTTATAGTCACAATAGGCTTGAATGTGCCTAAAACGAAAGATAGAGAGCACAGACGGATTTCTGCACAGCGGCTTCAAACGTTGATAGCGTTCTGCTCACAGCTGCAAATGACTTGATTCAAATTGGATCCGGAGCGTCTTCACGTCGTCTACAATTAGCAATTTAGATTGCACGATTTGATAAAGAATTGACGACACAGCGTCGGTTTGAACGAACGGTACTATGGCAGCCACTATAGTCTTAGAACACAAGATAGGAAGAGTTACGAGTTGGGAATGACTCCCAGCTCCTACAAACCCCAAGAGCCAAGGTACAGTGATGTGGAACAGTGCCACACTGTCCCCAACCACGAAGGGTCTCGAAACTACCCTTCACTAGGGCCTACACCAAGTGAAATGTTACACTACACAAAGTAATGTAACTATCTTCAATATCTTGAGGTGTACCCTTTTGGCAAGCTTCGAAATCACTTGAGGCTTGACACCAAGGCTCGGGCTCTTCATCACAAACTCATCCTTGAGTTCTTGATGGGTCTGCTGCACACACCTGCGACACGCCGAACGTTCGACACAGGACAAAATAGAAACCGCGCGCGAGACACAAACGACCGCGTAACACGCGTCTAGCGATAACTCGCTATTGACTCGACACACACACTCGACATCATGACTCAACATTCACACACAATTATAAGCATGAAATATATATTATCCCATGCCCTCATACCATTCCATACACACACACATTCACGCACACGGACAACAAGCCGAGTCCAAACCGTAGGGTTGCACCAACAGTGAGGGGTGTGAGAAGCAGAGGGGCGAGGGGGGTGAGAGGCAGAGGGGCGGGGCTCACGTGAGGTCAAAGATCGCGTCGAAGGGCTGTGCGGGGCGGTACTCAAAGAAGTCGGCACACTCAAACGACATGGCCGCCCTGTTGCCCGCCCCCTCCACCCGCTGGGTGAAGAGCGGGGGAGAGGGTTTAGAGCGTGGAGACGGGAGCACGGGGTTGAGCATGGAGTGTGAGGGCAGAGACGTCAAGCAAAGGATTGGCGAATCAAGGTAAGGGTGAATGGTTGTAGTGCTGGCAGCAGGGACGTTGCCCGTGCGCCTCTGCGAGTGCACTCATGACGCAACATGAGGGGCGTGCGCTCGTGCCGCACCCATGCCTCTCGCGCCCACCTTCTCTGCATGCGCCACAGCGGATGCAGAGATGTCAAGACCCGTCGCCTCCCTGCCACCCGATGCCAATGCCTCCACGTCATAGCCTACCATGATGCCATGCCATTGCCATGACATGCCATACCATCCATGCCATGCCGTGACATCCAATATCTCCATGCCATGCCATGACATGCCATGGACCAAACGTCAGGAAATGCAGTGATGTGGGGCACGGGGAGGATTCCGAATCATACACGACCCATGAACAATCATCGTGCATGTCTTTGGTCCACCTCCCCCCTTCACCAGAAAACACCCACTGTCACAGTGCATTCCGTGCTGCCGGCCGCCTGGCGGGCAGGCACTCACATTGCCACAGCCGGGGACGAGCACGCGGCGGATGGAGGGAGGCAGGTGAAGCGGCGATCCCTCTGGTGCTGCCACGAGCGCCGCCAAAGCCGGCATCACGCCACCCAGGAGCCACAGCGTCGTGCACGTTTTCCACGCCTTTTCCCACCCGCCTGGCGCCCGGGCGTGGGGTGGGGTGAAGATAATGAAAAGGGTTAGCGCTCCTAGAGGAATGCGCCGCATCACTCCGGCAGAGGGTGCACAGCGGCGATTCGAGGCATGCGGGAGGATCGAAAGGCGAGGATGGACGCGCAATTAGCTACGTCAGCGGACTCCGCTGAAATATGTACCAAAGCAATGGAAATTCATTATTAGTATGGCGCGCGGCGCCGCTTAAGCATGCGGTTGATGGAGAGAAAAAAAAAACGCAGATGCGCAGGCACGCGGCGAGGACATGATTGAGCTGCCTTGGCATGTATCCCCGCAATCATCGCCTTCGTCCGTGATCCCGGACGCCGTGCACACGCGTCCCGAGAACTGAAGTGAAGCTCACCGATGGGGTCGTCGGTCAGCAGCTTGCCCACCTCCAACATCTCCGAAATGCGCTTTGGCGCTTCAAACGCGAGGAACTTTGATCGCTTCGACTGCGCGCCATTCGCGGCGTCCGCTGCCCTCTCCGGAGTTGACGCGTGTTGCGAAATGCCGCGAGCGTGGGAGCTCGCAGACGTATCGAATTCCGGCGATGGCGCAGGTGCGGACGACACGAAATCAATCCCCATGATGGCGATGTTCGGCACAGAATAGCGAGGGGATGAAGGCGGAATCCAAAGTTTCTAGTTGGGCTGGTCTGCTGGATTGAGGTGTTCTACTGGATTGGGGTATTGTTATAGTATATAGTTCGGGTTTGATGATGGGGATATCGTACAAGGTACAAAATGGCGCGCAGGGACGGCATCGCGAGTCGGAATTTCTCAACCACTCGTCAAATTTCCGAATCTTTCGAATCGTGACATGCGGTTGCAAACATGATAGGGACGCCGTCGCGTTTGAGATGAGCCAATGAATGCGATTCGACTGAGCATCGTGTGCATATGATTGGTGGAACTTATCGTGTCACTTACGACTAAAGAAAGACCACAGAATCCCAATCCACACGAGAGTAGCAACTTCACATGCGTGTAACTTCACAACGAAAACCGAGAAATCCGTCGGAATTCCAATGTGCCGACTCGGGTGAATTCACACAACACATGCACGCGCGGTACTGAAAATTCACTGGCTCTGTTTGACAACCAAAACAAACAACCAGGGTTTAGGGTGTACAATCGGAAATGCAGCAGAAACTCCCTGTCTCAGTGTCGGCGCATGTATGTTCTGTATGGTGCTGCATTCGACAGTTCGAAACATTCAGTCCTGATGCGAACTGTTGAAGGGAGAGTCTTCTTTCAGTCATAGTGCACCCTTTTTTGTGTATCCTTTCTTTTGGTTAGGCCAATTGTGGCAAAAAGTCGGTCGAGTTTGACGAGGTCAAGATTGCCCACACAGTGGAAACTTCGTTCACCATCTACTTCACTACGGCAAACTGGGTACAGATGTTATGGCTTAGAGGCCCTTCCTAAAAGAGTCCCATTTCCCCAACGAGTATATTTTTTACATAAGTCCTAGGTGTATCCCCTCCTCTACAGTCCCATTTTTGGCGGGAAATCTTGTATCTTGACCGAATTATTGCACGAATCAGTTCCGCAGCCAATCAGAGGACGCAAATCGAACCTGTCAGAACATTCAGGGAAAATAGTACGATAGGAAGTTCTGATTCACTATATACTTTTTGCAGTTGTGTTTGTCTGTTTATCTTGACTGCTCTTGCGTCTAAATCCTATTGCGCGGTTCCCCGCGAGCTCCGACGATGCCATCTCATTAGTCTCGCTTACAGTGTAAAACAAAAAATGTTGTCCTTCATTTCGGCCTTAAACATAATTTAATTTGTATTTTTCTGCCCGTTTGTCATGCGACACTGATCAACGCGGCGAACCGTGCGACGAGAAGTTGAAAACAGCGTAGTCCGAATGTACGTATGTGACAGAAAAACACGTATAGTAGCGAAGGAAAATCGCTCTTCATGCAATTTTCCTTATACGGGACTATAAGTTCCCTTTTGCCCGGGGTTTGTGAGTTTTCCACAAAGGCCCGCAGCGCGCGTGTTTTTCACGGGGACTCTAATCGAGAACATCTGTACAAACTGGGTGTATTGTACAGCGAGAGAGGCGCACAAACGGTTCCGAAACTAAGGCATGGGGGCAACAAACGGTTTCGCTGGCGAAGTTACAGTGTATTATTGTGAAGGCGCCTTGCCAACGCCTTTCAAGCAAATAAAACAAGGGTACAGTCGATGCTCAGCCTATCACAAAACATTTGCTCCACACGATTAGATATTTAGTCACTCGCGAACGTTTTGCCCGTGAGTGACTAAATTGACCATCGTGCCGATTTCAGGGTACAGTCACCAAGTTGAAGAAGAAAAACATCTACAGTACATAAACAACAACGGTTGCACCTCATCAGAGAAGTTAACCTGGTTACGAAATTAAAACCCTTGACTCGATTCACGTCGCAATTTCATATTACTGTCACATTTTTGCCCGTGGCGACAAGGGCGAATGTGGCGAAAAGCCTCAAACACGTTTCACGCACATGCCACCCGCCTACCTGGTGTTCTTGAAATGGGCACCGACTGTAACTAACTCCTGGATATCAACATCAGGACTGCCACGTGGCTCGATGGTACCCATCAGATCTTCCGCCCCTCACTACACCCTAATGCTCACTCAACCGCCCACTCTGAACACGCCCACTGCCACTCCATACGCCCAGTGGTCGACATTCACAGCCAACGGCCCGCTCGTTACTGGCCCACGACAAAACCAGGATATTCTTGACCTCGAATAAGTTGTTCGAGTTTCCCAGACAAAACACGCTTGGCTACCCACAATGATAGCGACTATTCTACATTCAGTCCCATTTTGCCCCTAGAGAGCACGTGCTCGAGAGAGGAGCACGGGGAAAGATGGGGAACGGGACTGAAATAGGCATCAGGTGTACCCCATCTCTTCCACGTTTGAGGGCAATCATAAAGCCCCTGCGGCTCGGTTTGCACTGTATCAGATTCTACTGGAGAGCAACGTGCGGTACCAAACATATTTCGTTCTTTTGTCTCACCTGGCTCACTTCTGTTCATGGAAGGTTTTCTCACATAATAAGGTTTTCTCAGTCCATATATTGTAGAATGGGCATAAAGAAAGGGCATCAAACGTTGTCGCTGATTTCGTGACTGAACTTGACGGCACGAGGTTTTCTCAATTCGCCAGGGGCAGCAGGGGACTGTACAGTATCTTTTTTCTATTTGGCTAGTGATCTCGCGCGCACCAGCCAGCTAAAACCAAACACTGTAGCCATTTTTTCCACCGATGAGAAGAAGGTCGAGTTGGAGAAGGAGTGTATACACTGCAGGGTAATGACGTGTCATGGTTTGCCTCTGATTGGCTTGATCTGGTCGGGGCTGATCGGGTCGGGGTGCCCCCCATTACTGTGCTCGCGCCGCCCGATCAGATGCGAAATTCCTCGAGTGTTTCACGAGGGTGCATGGCAACCGTGTCACCCTTTCCAAACACTTTCGCCCCCACTTTGGCGAGGGCGAAGTCCTCAGCCTTGATCTAACGAAGTTTATTGTTTCCCTGTAATTTCGTGTGAACATAAGCACAGAAACGCTGCAGAGGATGGTTTCGAAAGTTCTCGCCAGGATGGTTGGTTGAGCGAGAGCTTCACGAACCCCAGCACAACACCGTAACTTCTCGCTGGCGTCGCTTGGTACCCCAATCCAATGCAATCAACTGATCGTCGGTGATTGTGTGGGGTTGTGTTTGATTGGGCTGATTTAGGCGGTTGATCGAGTTGGGGCGATCAGCTGATCACGATCAGGTGATTGCCCTAGCTTCCTGGAAGTTATTGATCGACTGTGATCGGGGCAATCGGAGGCGAACCGTAACACGTCCTAATCTCGTTTGTTGTACACGTACAGAGGTGCCTGTGGAATTTGGAGTTTTCAAACTCGTGGTCAAATTTCCGAACCGCGAGTGCTTGTAGATGACATGCGGTTGACCGTCACCAAACGTGAAATGGACGGCGTCGCGTTGGGGATGAATCAATGCGATTCAACCAAGCATCGTGTGCATATGATTGGTTGAACTGATTACGGCAAAACAATGACCACAGATTCCAAATCCACGCGAGAGAAACAACTTCACAACGAAATTCGAGAAATCAAGGGTCATTATAGATCACAAACGGAGGCTCGTTATTACGGATAGTCACTTGGCTATCACAAACGGTCAGATAATCTATGAATCTATCACTGATGGTCATAAAATCTGGAATTCTATCCCGCATAGTCACACGCTCTTGGAATAACTGATGTTTTTTATAACATTCCCAAAGGTTCCCTCTGAAGCGCACCGCTTCAGGGAGAACCAGCGCAGCTGTACCAGTATCGAACTTCTAACTGAACTTCTCACATTTGAAATTCATTTGACGCGCGAATATACATCAATGAGCTCATTTTGGAACGTGCCCCGAGACGTGCGAAATGTTGGGCCGACAAAAGCCCTTAGGATCTTTTTGCTGCGAGATGATCGCTGCCAAGATCTCCTCGGGAAGGTTCGCACGCAGGTAGATAGAATAGGTGGGCCCTTGACCTCAATAGCAGAGTGAATGTAAAATGCTTGACATGAATTAAAACATGCAAATACAACGATATAAATAAGAGTACAGGGGAATTCGAATCGACCTAGCTCGCCATGTACTCTAAGGGGTACATTCCCTTAATCAAATTTATTCCCAACCGTGCGGCGCGTACAGTTACGAAACTGTTCCCGCCAAAACCCTCCTGCCTGTGGCTGCCCGATGCTGTCTGCCCCAAGGTTCCAGATGCACCCCAACTGTCTGACGCTTCGAGTCAATTCTGACCCTTCGCATTCGTTCTCATTACTGCATGCTTCTTTAGCTGCTGTCGGAAGTGCACAGTAATGTTTGACTCATTACTATTCGTAACACCCCCCTTCACTCCTGGCCGTAGCTCGACTTGACCTGCTTGACCACTCTGCTGAGTTCGGAGCAGTGCTGATACTGCTGGCGTCGCAGTCGCTTCGTGAGAAAGTCTGCTGCCATGTCACCGGTCGGGCAGTAGGTCAAGTCAACCTTGCCCTTGACTACTTCGTCCTTCACGAAGAAATACCGCAGCACAATGTGCTTGGTGTGGTTGACGAAACCAGGTTTGTTTGCGATGCGAATCGCGCTCTAGTTGTCGCAGTGAAGACGAAAGGTGGGCGAAGCTGGAATTTTCGCCTCCTGCAGAAGTTCCTGCAAGTAGAGGCCTTCGCGAACTACTGCGGTTGCTGCGATGAATTCCGCTTTGGCTGACGACAGGGCAACCAACTCCTGCTTCTGCGAGTTCCAGGAGATTGGTCCCGTTGGTTCGAGTCGGAACAGGAAGCCAGTCCGAGACCGTCGATTGTCAGGATCTGCTGTGTGATCGGCGTCCACGTAGCCGATGAGGTTGAAGGATGGGGTTGGTACTGTTGAGCAGCACAGCCCAATCTTGGGCGTCGAAACGAAGAACTGTAGGGCGCGCTGCAGGTCCAGAAGATTCTCAGCCGTTGGCTTGCGTGAGTACTGGGCTAGGTGACTTGCGATGTAGGAGAGGTCGGGCCTGCATGTGACAGAGGCG